TTGTTATATATTAGACTTTGGATATGGACTATGTAAACACCATAACATAATATAGAAATTTTGATAACAAACCATAAAGAAATCAAATAAAACATTTATGAGAGATACCTATGAAAATATGAGCTGAACGGCAGAGCAATTAGCAAGTGATTTGAATTTACTTTATTTATTTATTTATTTATTTATTTATTTATTTATTTATTTATTTATTTATTTATTATTATTATTATTATTATTATTATATTTATTTTTTAAAAAAAATCAAACGGTATTCGGTTCAGTTCAATTTTTTACCGAACAATTCGGATCGGTTCGGATCGATTTTTTATCGAACCGTTCGGTATACAAGAAACCAATACCGTTCGGTTGTTCGGTATATTACCGAACAAACTAGTTCGGTTCGGTTTGGTACGGTTCGATTCGAGAAGACTAAATTGAATTGCCCACCCTAAAGTTAATAACCAAAATGGTCTCTTGACTATAGCGAAATTACCAATTTAGTCCCAAGTTAACGGTTGACCAACGGTCAAACTAACGGAGGACCAAATTGGTTAAAATTTTTAAAGTTGAGGGACTTAATTAGTTTAAAAAAATAGTCAAGAACCGAATTGATAATTTCACTATAGTCAAGGGACCATTTTGGTAATTAACTCTATAATTAATTACTAGGGCTATATATGGGGTGTGGTGGGGGAGGGGTGCAGCTGCATGCTCCCACTGTAGCTCCGCCCCTGGCGGGGGCTCAAACTCACGTTAAAAGCTATAGCTCATAGTGAAGGACACAATTTTATTTCTTTATTGACCACATCACGTTTTGGAGACGCAAGATGCTGGACTTGACCCTTTACAGGTTTCCACCCAACAATCCCCTAACTATCAATTGATGAACTTGACCATTTAACAACCTCCGCCCAACAAGTTATTTTCCCGGTTCGGGACATTTGCAGGCCACCACAGTCACACTCAGACTTTCACCGGCACTGAGCTATGCCCCAGGACTATTATTATATGGTAAATTATATATACGTTACCTCTTGATTCTTGTGTTGATGAATGGAGGGAGGGCTAGATCGTGGCTGGGGATGATGAGCTGAAGAGTTTCTCCTATGAAAGGCAAGCCCATGGAGCCAGGAGGCAAGACACCATTGCATTTAGGATTCCTCCATCTGTAAATCCAATGTGCAATGTAAATGCTAAGCATTGCAGAAACTGAGTACACTATGGCTGATACATTCATCTTCCTCAGCTCATCCATGGAGGAGGAGAACATTGTTTCCATGGCAGCAAACACAGACAGAGAGAGTGGGAATTGGTTGAAGTTGTGTGTTTCCTTTTACTTTTTTATCTTCTGAGAACTGGTATTTATAAGGTGAGTAATACATTCATTTAAACTTTATTTTAACAGTCTTTTCATAAAATAATGTGGAATTTTCATAGAATGATGCATATTTTTTTCCCCTAACAGGTTGAACTCCGATCCAACTCCAAAGGTCTCTCACACTTTAAATGGACACAGCATTTGGGAGGATATAATCACAGTGACTTTGCAGATAAAGTGAGGGACAAATGTCAATGCGTACACTATGTTGTACCTTAATCTCTTCTTCCAAATAATACCTACTGAATCAGTGAGTTAATTCCGTGCTAGCTAAAGTGATACATATTTTATCCAAGAATAATGTTGTCTTACTTTAATAAGTGATGCAATAAATTTGTTATATATTTATACAAATCTTATATTATCGCATTTTTTATTTCAATATGAATCTCATTCGTCCACGGTTTCATTTAAATTGATTTGAATTCAATGTGAATATTGGAATGATTGTGGATCACAAGTGAAATTAATTATTACTCCGTAATAGTATTGTGGTGTTGTTTAACTTAACAAATTTAAAAATATTATTCTTCCAAAAGGCTGAACCCCAACCCTAAGGGCCCCACACCTCGGCCCGACAGAGCATTTGGGATGATGTAAATCATGGTGACTTAACTGAACATTAATCACAGAGGCTAGACCGATGCTCACTGCGCACAAGGAGCCCCCTCACTTTGAGAGGTTGCTCCCACACTGCCGCTGGTGAGACTCGATCCCTGGTCATTTTTCTAAAATTTCACGTCTATAACTAGTTGAGCTACCCATGCGGACAATTTAAAAATATTATTATTGTTTCTAGAATTCTTGGCGTTTTAAATGGGTTCTGATATAGTGAAATTAATAAATACTTCTGATATAGTGCCCCCTAACCCAGGGCAAAGTGACAGAGCAGTACAAGTACAATTTGTGTATGGTGGAAGACTAGAAGTACATTTTGTGTATGTGTCACACTTAATAGCCATTAAAATATATTTTGTCTTTGAATAAGATCGTACCGCTCCGTATATAAGTAGGTGGTGAATTTAGTAGATCTAATAATTAAAAAGTAACAAAAACCACGGTTGTATTGTTGTAATTATGATTTTGTATTTTGGAGCACTAGAAAGTACATTCGTAGATAACTGACAATGCATTTGGAAACCCTTTTTTCAAATTAAAAGCACAATCAAAACATTTTCAAATGCACAGTCAACTATTTTTAAATATACAACAATGAAATTAGTATATTATATTTGTATATATATATATTAGAATATTACAATACGTTAGAGAATAGAGACATTCCTGCCTCGCTATCCTGCATTGATAGCATTTCTACTCTGCCCCAAGAGGGGCGCTCAAATGGACAAAATATAATTCTTGTATAAGAATGTCAAAAGTTCAATTATTATCAACATTCTTTTGGTTGAGCTCTTTGCACAAAATCATAGTGTGGTTTACGAGCTATTCCACATGAGTGAGATTTGCCTCGTGCATACCAATATTGGATATTAACTATGAGTTTCCTTCACCAATAGAGCTTTAATAATTATTATAGGAGCAAGATTTATCTAATGCACATCTTTGAATAATAACTGCAATTTTCCATTGTCATAAAAAAAATGTCATCTCATTCAATAAACTTATAATTTTAGTATCCAAAATACTTTTTTTTTTTAAATTGACAAAAAATTATTGTATGTGGGCAAATTTTTTAAAAATAACTTTTCAATTTTTAAATAATTTTTTTCAACTAACTTTTCCACTAGACTCACGAATCGAGCCTTAATATTTGTTACAAATGTATTTGTTTTTTAAGCACAAACCATATGAAACAATTGGCACTTATTAAAATGAAATAAGTCTTCTATAAAACCGTTTTATATGATAATAAATATAATTATATTTATAAATTTATAAAAAAGTATTGCGCATTTTACGAGAATTCATCTCACATTCTCACATAAAACATACTTTATTGGAATTTATTGAAATTCTAACAATGTTTATTAACCCTCCCACCTTTCCAATACATGCTTAACACGATGTGGTGGGTAAGTAACAAATTAAAGACGCCATTGTAAAGTAATGTCACGAAGATAATATTTGATTGGGCGAGGTACGTAATATTCGTCTATCAATTAAAATTTGTCATATCTACTATCTACTATACAATTGTTATATCGTGCACCAGAGCGCACATGCATTATGCGCCTTAAAAAGTCGCATGTTTCATATGTATAGAATTTTATAGTATAATACACAAACTCTTAACATAATACACATAGTCTAACATAATACATGATACACATAAATTGTTAACATAATACAAATAAAATTTTAACATAATACATATAAACTCTGAACACAGGGGCGGAGCCACCTGATAGTAAGAGGAGAAATTTTTTTTTTTTTTTATCTTAGTATAAGGCAGGTTAGGCAGCACAGCTGCATATTATAGCCAGTGGCGGCTTGGCCCCCCCCCCCCCCGTTTTTTTTTTTTTTTTGTTAGTTTGTACTTAGAACTAAGTAGTACAATAGCTATAAGCAAAAAGACAAAGCAAGTGTCATTTTCATGTGGCCCACCAAACATTTTCCCACCTAAAACAATTCTTCTTGAGTAAGCAAACCAAAATTTACAAATCAAAACTTCAATCACATTACACAGACGCACGGCGGCAGATTCTTCAAACAACAAATTCTCTTCAAATTTTTACTTGCAAGTATATGGGTAATTTTCTATTTCCTTTTTATTCTTTAAATTTTTGAATTTGTTTTATGAATTAATCTTTATTGAAAATAGATTCATCATCCTCACAAGTTACAACAACCGCGATAAACTCGGGGTAAATGGCAAAATAGTTAAATCATCTCTTTCGTTTCTTCAGTTGACGACTCACGACGGCAACCACGGTGAACTCGGGCTACCGGTTACGAGTGTCGACATTCTCCACTTCTCATTTGGTTAGTGTATTTTTATACTTTTAAAAGTTAAATAGGATTTGCTAGAATTTGAATACTAGTGCATAAATCATAATGAAATAGCTAAATGGGCATTTGAGGAGTTTGAAATTAGGTCATTTTGTTAACAAAATCTTTAAATATCTATTACTTTAATATTTCTCTATTTTTTTTTTCATTTGGTTTTAGTTAATTTAATTGATTTGTCAAAAAAATTAACAGTGCGAACATGAGAAGATTAAGTTGAAATGAAAAAGACACCAAGAATTGATCTTTTCTTTAAAAGAAAGAATTCTGAAGATTCAACATCTCAAGTAAATTCATTTTCAAGTATTGAACCATTGAATCGCAAAGTCGTCCTGAAAAAGCTCAAAGAGTTGAAATCAACGAGAAGTTTGATATTCAAGCATTAGAACGTGATCCGGGATTGCGACTACCAATATGGAAGTGTCCAATTGAGAAGCGTGATGAAGTTAGGAGAGCTTATATCAAGGTCGGCCCATATCAATGTTTGCTTTCAAAGTATCCAAAATCGGGAGAAAATCATCCTCATAGTTTTCAAGCATCTTGGTTTAAGGACACTATTGCATCAACATTGAAAGAATCTATCTTTTCTATCTTACCTCGTCATAATCTTGATGTTCAGAATATTCGGGGACAAGGTTATGATGGTGCAAGTAACATGCGTGGAGAATGGAATGGATTGAAAGCTTTAATCTTGGATGAATGTCCTTATGCTTATTATGTTCATTGTTTTGCACATCGATTGCAATTGGCATTAGTAGCTTCATCAAAGGAAGTCATCCCAGTCCATCAATTTTTTACCAAGTTGAACTCTATTATTAATGTTGTTGGGGCATCATGTAAGCGCAATGACCAGTTGAAAGTTGCTCATGCCTCAAATATTGCTCATTTGCTTAGTATTGATGAGCTTGAAAGTGGGAGAGGTCTTAATCAAATTGGTTCTTTACAAAGGCCGGGTGATACTCGTTGGAGTTCTCATTTGAAGTCTATTTCAAGTTTGATGAGAATGTATAGTGCAACATGTGAAGTTTTACTTAATATTGTTGAAGATGGAACTACACATGCTCACCGTGGAGATGCCGATGTAGCTTATGAGGTACTCACTTCTTTTGAGTTTGTATTCATTATGCATCTCATGAGAAAAATTTTGGAGATTTCAAATATGCTTTGCCAAGCTTTACAACTCCAATCTCATGAAATATTGAATGCAATGCATCCTGTGTCATCTACTAAATTGCTTATTCAAAATTTAAGAGATAGTGGATGGGATGAATTAGTTGCAAGTGTGAAGTCTTTTTGTGAAACTGTCAACATAACTGTGCCGGATTTTGATGCTCAATATATTGCAAGAAGGGGAAGGGCTAGGCATCAACAAGATGAATTAACAATTGGGCATCATTACAAATTTGATATTTTTAATGCCGTGATTGATTCTCAGTTGCAAGAGTTGAACAATAGGTTTGATGATAAAGCAATGGAGTTAATTATTCTGAGTTCATCGTTAGATCCAAAAGAGATGCGTATATCATTCAGAATTGATGACATTTGCAAGTTGGTGGAGAAGTTTTACCCTCAAGACTTTGAAGATTATGAGATTTTACAACTGAGAACGCAACTTGAACATTTTGAACATGTGCAACAACTTCCTGATTTCATAACACTAGAAAGTATTTCTGATCTATGCCAATGGTTGGTGAAAACTAGAAAATCGAACATCTATCCTCTTGTGTTCAGAGTAGTAACTCTCATTCTCACACTTCCAGTATCTACAGCTATTACAGAACGATCTTTTTCTGCCATGAATATAGTAAAGACTACACTCCGTATATTGAAAAACAAATTGCAAAACAATTTAGTATAGATTCAATTATAGATGATTTTCGTGACATGCAAGAGAGACGTTCTAAATTTTAGTAGATTTGTAATATAATGATGTATTTTGGAATATGTGAAATGAATATTAATGTATTTTATAATTTTGATCGGTCCCCCCGCACTAACAAATCCTGGCTCCTGGCTCCGCCCCTGCCCACAAGCAAGTAGGGATTTTTGGTCTTCCCATGTTCTGTTGTTCTTCTTTCACAGACCCCACCTAAGGTGTTCTCAACATGAAGTAGTTGCAGATAGATTACTGTGTCCTCAAAACCAACTATGATTCCCTCAAGCATAAGTACGAAGCTCTCCAGCATGACAATAATGAATCTCTCCAGCATGACAATGAAGCTCTCCTAGGGGTGGGTGTCGGTTCGGTTTGGGGGACACTTAAATTTTATTTTGGATATTCAAAAATTTCAGTGATATTTTTGACACCCGATATCTAAACTAAATTTAATTCGGATATATTCAGTTCGGGTCAAATGATTTCAGATTAGTTTGAATATACTCAAAATTTTATTTTTATTAATTTTGATTTTTTAACGATTTTATTATTTTTGTATTTATATTTTTCATATACTATCAAACTAAAAATAAGACATAATACTAATTACTAATTAAGAGCCTTTTGAGAATTAATATATTATTAATTATGAAATACATTTAAAATTAAAATATATAATTTATATTATTATATTTATAATAAAATTTCGATTAGTTCGAGTTTCGGTTCGGCTATGGATAAATTTTTAACACCCGAAATTCGAACCAAATATATATTAGGATATATCAAATTTTAAAATATCCGAACCGATAACTATTCGCATTTGTCAAAAAATTTAAAATTTAGTTCGGGAATTCAGATCGAGTTTGGCATGGTAGTTCAGATAATCCAAATTATGCGTACCCTTAGCAACTACGAGGCAAGTGGCGACTGCCAATTGCGAGATTACGATGGGCTGCAGTGAGGTGTTGACCAACTGGCGAGGAGGTAGTGAATGACGGACGACGAGGTTATTGGTTTTTACTCTTCTACTCTTCTAGTGTAGCTGTGGTGTAGCCGTGGCGGCGATGAGGGCAATGGCCGACTGCGGCCTGTGGAGGCGGTGGCTTCCTCAACAGGCCTGCAGTGGCGCCGGCTTGTTCTTCCTCGTGACTCTGGGAATATAGTTAGTGCTGCCCTTCAAATAAAACGCCAGCGACTCTAGAACCCCTTCAAATAAAAAGGCAGTGGCTCTAGGACCAAAGATTAATATGTGAATAAATATTGTTGGTTTGTACAACCTCGATGGCTGCTCGGCAAGCCAACACTACCGAAAAGAAAGTAATGATATTTTATGAGATAGTGAAAATAAACATGAATCGATAGAGAAATAATAATGCGGTGTTATTTCTCTAGGGTTTTGCCCTTAAAGTGCCGACCGAAAGTCCTTTACATGATGATCTCAGGGGGATATTTATACATAGGTGCGGAGTTTGCATATGGTAAGTAGGGTTGACGCAAGACCTAACCTAGAGGGGGAATAGTGCTGACGTAAGGGTTGACGTGCTGTTAACTTACTGCCTTTTCCGTATGAACTAATTAAAGAAGTTGCCTAATGTGCGAAGATTGCTTCCGCAGAATCCGCTCAACGCGTTGCCGGATGTGTGCCCGGTCAGGGATGGTCCCGACTGCGCGGGGGGCGCCTTCCTGGGTGCTTGCCTTCAGGTAATGACATCCCGTTTATAGAGCCTAGTCGCTCGACCAAGTTCCTGAAAAGTGTTCGATCAGGGACGCACCGCCCGTGTGGCCTGGTCGCCTGTCCAAACCCCTACGTGTTCAGCCGGGGATACGTCGACCACCGTAACTGCTCGCCTGACCGTATCTCATCTGGGAGCCTGCCCGAGCACGCGCCGACTGGCGGGCTGGCCGCGTTGGAGCGCTCAATAGCCATCGTAAGGCGCTTCGCATCGTGGCTGAGAAGTCCCTGGCGATCTTCCTCTTGCTAAGTAGTGAGCCATCTCCCGGTCTGGCTGCCTTGTCTGATTTCCCATCTAGGCAGCAGATTTGGGGTATCTATCACCAGTCCCTCACTTTTTTAGGTTTCAGCCGCAACTTGAAAAAGTAAAGAAAAGAAGGAAGAGAACGCAAGTTCCCCAAGCATCCTGGCCGCCTAGTTTCTCGGCTTGCCCGGGCGCGTCTGCAACTCGGGCGGGATCCCGGCTTATCCCGCCGTTCCCGACTTATCCCGTCGTTCCTGTCTGGTTCTGCGGAGTGATACAGCTGCGATAAGAGTAATCATGACTCTTCCGTTAATTCCGCTGGTTGGGTCTTTAATGCCTCTTTGTAACCGTCACCTCAAATGTAACATCAATGACTCCCGTCCGTCCAATCCGAGACATGCGTCGCATTCTTGTCACTCATCCAACCTTATAAATACCCTTCTTCCTCCTTATTCTCCTCTCTGCGCTTCTCAGCCTTTTCCCGTCTTTTCTCCTTCTCTTCTCCAACACTTCAAGATAATGCCCGGTCGGTTGACGCCCAACTCTCGCTGCTCGCCAGTCGCCTTCCTCACCTACTGTTATCACCTTAGGGTAGAGGCTACCCAGTCCTTATTTCAACAGCCTTTCCAAATTTCCCGGGCTCTGTACAGCCACTACTGTGTCAAGAAAGCAACCCGCCAACAGGGGTCAACTGCAGCAAGACCAATCTTTCCAGCACGTACGGGGGGGTGGTTGGGCGGGGGGGGGGGGGTTAATCTACAAGAGACCCTTTTTGCTAGCATAGAATCTGATGGGCGCTTCACCAGTGAAGCAAGTACAGATTCGAAAGAATGACGGCCCCTCCTCAATTACCCATCGAGGGGATGGTGCATATCTAGTAGACTTCGTCTTCGAAACATCACCTGTGCGAACCCATACGAAGTCAACGTATTCTTCACAGATATAGTACCGGTCAATGATGGTTTCGATTTCTAGAAACTTTTCGGTATATCCGTGGAGCAAATTTAAGCTTGAACAAGACTGCGTTGTGACCCTCATTATGATCGAGAGAGCGCCTATGTGTCTTCGCAACATCCTCGAATCGAAGCTAGAGCCGACCAAGAGAACGCTCCAGCTGGGCAGGGGTGAAGCTTGAGTAGTCTAGTTGTCCATTTCCTTCCCTCTTGCTCCTTTTTGAATGTAATCTCCCCTTCGGGCTTTTTGTCTATCAGCTGCTTTCTTTTCTTCCCGGCTTGTTTATCTTCTAAGTACAGCTGACCGCTCATGTTGTTCGGTCGGGCTCTATAGTGGCCACATCCTTCGCGGGGTGAGGCTGACGCTTACCAGTCCCCCAGGAACATCAAAACTGCTAAGTCCCTTAATGGACGACGCTGGCTGCCTACGAGCCCCTTGAGGAACATCAAAACCTGCTAAGTCTCTCGGTGGGCGAGGCTGGCTGCCTACGAGCCCCTAAGGAACATCAAAATGGCCGTCCCTCAGTGGACTAGGCTGGCTGCCTACGAGCCCCTTGAGGAACACCAAAAACTGCTAAGTCCCTCAGTGGGCGAGGGTAGCTGCCTACGAGCCCCTGAGGAACATAAAAATGGCTAAGTCTCTCAGTGGGTGAGGCTGGCTGCCTACGAGCCCCTGAGGAACATCCAAAGCGGCCAAGTCCCTCAGTGGGCGAGGCTGGCTGCCTACGAGCCCCTGAGAAACATCAAATCGGCCATGTCCCTCAGTGGGCGAGGCTGACTACCTACGAGCCCCCTGAAGAACATAAAAAACTGCTAAGTCCTTCAGTGGGCGAGGCTGGTTGCCTTCGAGCCCCTGAGAAACATCAAAACTGTAAAGTCCCTCAAGGGGCGAGGCTGGCTGCCTACGAGCCCCTGAGGAACATCCAAAGCGGCCAAGTCCTTCAGTGGGCGAGGCTGGCTGCCTACGAGCCCCTGAGAAACATCAAAACGGCCAAGTCCCTCAGTGGGCGAGGCTGACTACTTACGAGCCCCTGAGGAACATCAAAACGGTCGTCCCTTAGTGGGCGAGACAGGCTGCCTATGAGTCCCTGATGTGACACCCTGTAAATTCGGATTCTATTTAGGGATTAATTAAGTAATTAATCCTAATCCAATTGGTAATTTAATCCTTTAAATTCCCGAAAATTCAATAGTCGGGGACTAGTAATTGACTAGTCAACCCAAGTCAAGTGTTGTACCTAAAGCTTTGTGAATAGTTCCCTTGTTCCCTTACACTCTTTCATCTTAGTAAGGGTAAGGAAGACATTTCCTTCATGATTGTATTCCAAGTTAACCTAGGAGACATCTCTCATTTCTATCCTAACACTTTCAAAGCAAAAAGCTCTCCCTTCTCTCTAAAAACCTAGCTAGCTTTCTCTCCAAGCTAAGTTTAGACTTTCCAAGATCTTCAAAGTTTGTCTCCAAGATTCCACCTTTCCTACTCTTGAGCATCTAGGAGGGTAAGATCTATGTTCCTCTTGTGTTTTTAGTGTTTTCTAAGGTATCTTTTTCTAAAGGTAGAATCTTTATGATCTTTTGGTGTGTTCTTGAAGTGGGTGTGGAAGGTGAACCTTGTTAGGAGCTTTGAGAAGTGTTAAGTGAAGGTTTTTGTCTACAAGAGGTAACCCATGCTCTACAAAATCTATTTTGTTACCTATATGATGATTTATTGGATTCTACATATGATTTTGCAATGAAATGTGAGTGTTGATGCATTGTCTTGTTAAAATGCATATCTAGAGCTTGTTATTAGGGTTCTTGTATGCCATTTCTTGGCTATTCCTTTGATTCAAGTCATTTTGTTGTATTTGGTGAGATTTGGCATGTTTTGGACTTGAATTTGAGCTTGGTGTTGAAAATCCCCGAAGGGATAAATTGTGGTACAGGTATGTACCCGCGGGCGGAACGGCGGGTAGGCGTCCACCCGCCACCCCACCCGCGGGGTACAGGCGTGTGGGAAATTGTGTTCCCGCGGGCAGAACCACGGGTGGGGGTCCACCCGTGGCCCCAC